TTATATGTTTGCCTGCAAAAAAGGAAAACTGGACGTATCGTTAAGAGTTAAATAGCGTGGATGAAAGCTGGCGAGTCCCAGTATCAGGAGTTTCACAGAGGACTACCTTCGGCTACTCGTCTTATGATGTTTACTAGTGAATCATTCAGATGAAATTAGCAGTACTGGTCTATACAGACGACGCAGAGGTCTGAGGATTCGTCAGAGCTTCGAAGACCTTACAACATTTAAGTGTTATATGGTAGACGAGTTAAAAATTAACCAGTTCGAAACGACATATCGTGAGCTGTATTATTTATGTCATATTGCATGAAGTAGGCTCTCATTTGGCTACCAAGAGCGCGATATCGGTTAGTAGCTGTGGAGAACCTGAACACCATCCGAGTCTACAAACGTGAAGCAACTACGGCAAAAGCATAACCTAAGGGAAGATAACTTGAAAAAATGACCACGCTATTGTTCCTAACTCTCTTTGGAAAATACATACGGTCCTAGCCACATTCTTCGACAGTCCATACATGTTTTTCGTCGAATGAATAGGCGAGCAACAGAATGAGTGAAAGGTTTAAAGAAACAAGTCCTACAAAACCTGACTAAGACAATTATTACTATCTTTCTGAGTCGCAAAAGAATAAAAGGCTGCTTTATGATAGTTTACAAATATTGGATGCTGTAGTGACTCAACATAAAACATCTCCCCAACTTGCCATCACCAAGCCTGCCCAGATGACCACAGGATATCTCACATCTAAAGTCAAACACTGAAGGTCGCTTCCTCTTTTTCTAATTAATAGCTACCACTAATTGGAGTGCTGTTCCAAGTGACCGCAGTCCCTTCAGTGAACGGCTTAAATGAAAACGCATTCACATGCGTATTCTCATCTCTTGCTAGAACCAGACGTGCCTGATTCATGTTTCGTAACTTGTTTGTCGTTGTCATCAAAATTACTTTCCTTTTTCTCTCTACACTTCATCCTCTTACAATATCTGCACTACCAATTAATTAACAAGTATTATTAACCAACTTTAAGGAAGGATTTTCTTTTCAGTATCATTAGAATTTTTTCTCCATTATTCCCCAATTTAAACCTACAGAACTACTGCCTTCTAATATGATAACTACTCGTTTCCATAAACAGAAGCACACATGGAAGACAGAAAAATCCGAAAATAGCTGCCTAAATGACTTGAATAAGCTCAGTCATGTTGTTCGACTGATGTCCACTGGACATTAGCAAATGCCCTGAACTGTATCAAAACAACAAAAAGCTAGCACAAAGATGGCGATCCGTTAAAACTAACTCGTAAAAGATTAGTAGTGCAGTCAAATGGCTAGACCCTATATATTGGACACATCCAAACACCTGGAACCGTACCAAAAGAACAAGAACCGAGCGCAAAGAAATCAGTTGGGTTATACTAGCTTGTGAAAAAAATATTGGGTATTGGATTTGAAGATCTTGGAAAAAAAGACCAATTAATTAGTCTACAACAATTCGACAATAAGGTTATTAAAATTTTCAAATATTACACTTAAGACTTTTTCTTCCTGTTAAAAATATATTTCACAAGCTTCGAATGAACTAAAATTTCTCGGACATTTTGTTTTAATGCATGATAGTAACTTATTTGCCTGTTGTCATAACATTAGTTAGCGTGCTCGGTTAAACTTAATCCAGTTCGTGTTTTTATAAAACATTTGGTTGGTTGTATAAAAGTGTTTTCTTTATAACAGCCCGTAAGGGATAGACAAAGGCTTGCTTTCAACGGTCGCCTAATTTCTACTCGAAAGGTACGATATGACATAGGGATTTTATCGTAATATATAAATGTATAAATGCCACAGCAGAATGTTTAGATATTATATAGATATTTTCAAAATAGGTTTTGGGTCGAAGTATGCTTGTTAATAAGCAGTGGTATTCAGAAAATTTTTTTTAATTAGTCCCTAGGTTTTATGTATTATATTAGCCTGACGTTTTTCTTTTTCATTTTGTTAGGTATACATAATAAATTCGTTGCTATCTATTATCAGCTAGTAGGCATGCTCATGCTCTATCTCTTTACTTGTGAATGCATTTAGTTTTGCAGGCTATTCTAGGTTAGCTGACTGTTAGGGCTCGAATGAAATAAGTATGTAGACCGAAGCTTTCATCATTGAAGTGATTTGCATTTCACCATCATGTCAGTGACAAGTGCCATGACAGTGCCTTTTTATAGCTAGTCGTATTTGCGTCCCATAAAGGTTTTTGAACGACTTAAGAAAGGTTTACCAATACTTGGAAGTATTTAGGTTCATATACTAACTTGGAAATTCCAAAAATCTCCAATTCGTTTTACGGAATTCATTGAACACATTTGTGTGTCATATTGAGAGCCCGAAATAAGCGCTTAATAGAATGCAAAAACCTTAAGTTTATTTTTGTTTACATGAGAAGTGACATCATAATAAAGTGGACTTAGAAAGGAGGCCGGAAGTATAGCATGCATGGGTTTCTTTCGTGTATAGGTTAAAGGTATGCTGCCAAACATGGAAATTAGGTATATTTGGAAGGTTAAAATGCTCGTAATGTTAACACTGAGCTGTAAACTGAGAACATAAATTACGTTAATAATAATTAAAAATATTAATATTTGAATTGACTCAGCCACTCTTTCGGGACGAAAATGGGTTTTAATTATTAAATCGCTTGCCCAAGAATGAATAACGGTGCTTTGCAGAATAGTCTGTCTTTCGATTAAATTAAGTTTTCTCTTTGTAAGTTACTCACCAGTTTAGGATGTTAACTCTCTGAAGATTATTATTCAGTCATTATTAAACTTATTTAAAAGCTCTGTTTTGTAGCGCGAGGAAGAGTACACTGCTAAGTAAGATAAAGGGATATATCTCACCCTTAGATAGACTAAATAGCGGTAACTATGCAATAATGTGTAGATTTAGGCCGCTGAGTCAATTAACTATGAACCACGTAAGAATATCTTCACGAGACCTCATGAGCGAACGAAACATCTGTTGTTAAATAATGCAAATTCAAACATAAAAATCTAGTAAATAATTATCTCCACTAAACAATTCCATAAAAGTTATAATTAGTAGCTAGTGAACTTGCTTCAATATAAATTATTGCAGGTTTTATTATCATTTATTGAAATCACAAGGCAATAAATGTATGTATAAAGCTGTGAAGGGGTTCACAAAGGAAAGACAATCGACAATGAGAGGGACACCTTTATTGTCTTCAATTGAGCTTCCAGTCCTAGATCAATTAGTAACAGAAATTTCAACTTTAAGATGCTCTTTGTTTGTATCCAGTGGATGTAGAAAAGTCGTAGTCATGATAAATCAGTCTCATTCAATGTTTGATCTGTATACGTAGTGATTTGAATTTGAGACCAGAATGTATTAACCGACTTCAAAAATAATGAACTCTTCTATCGGTACCTAAACTAGTGATAGGGAATGAAGTAGTTGAGTGCTTTACTTATCTCGCCAGTCTCATAAGTGCCAGTGGCCTGTTGACTGACGAAATCTCCGCACGGATACAGAAGGCTTGATTGGCTTTTGCTAACCTGCGTCATTTATGGTTTATGCGAGATATCCTTCTGAAAACCAAAAGACGAGTCTATTGCGCAACAGTTCGGTCTGTACAACTATATGGATGCGAAACATGGCCCGTAAGAGTTGAGGACATTCGTAGGTTACCAGTATTCGATTATAGGTGTTTTAGAAGCATTGCTGGTATATCCTGGGACAATTGAGTAAGCAATGCTATAGTTAGGAAACGAGTACTAGGCAAGGATGAAGTATTGAAACTTCATCAGTTGAGTTGTTGGGACATGTGTTACGTATGCCTAACCACCGACTGCCTCGTCGAGCGATGATTTGTGGTGTAGGTTAGGCTGGTAGAAAGTAAGGGGCGGAGAGACCAAATCATGGCACAAATGCATCAAGTCACTGACAAGTGGACTGAGTCATGTTGGTAGATGCAGGCTACCTGGTTGGGGTCTGCGAGACGAAAGTCACCGATGATTAGTGACCTTGAATGAGATGACTCAAAACCGTTTGCAGTGGCGTAGGTACATTCATTCTTTGTGTTCTCTCAAATTCTAACCTTCTGAATTCCTCATCCTTTTTATATTTTTGTTTCAAGTTTATTTCGCCAGATTGTACTTCTTGAATATTATCGTCAAACTATAAAATTTACTGATAATACTTCTATTTCTCTACTACTATGGGATATGCAGTGACGATTGCATCTCTGTGCTAATACAGTATGGCAACTTGAACTAATGTATGTACGTACGAAGTTCTGCGTTGCTGTTGATCGGTTGAATGATTGAACTTTTCTATAATTTATTTCTTCACATAATGATATAAGTTCACCTAGTGAATATGTCACTTGTATTCATCTTCTGAATATTCTATCTGTATAAGGACTATAAGTCTGTCCAAATTCTAATCTTCTGAATTCCTTATGACTTTTTCTCTCTTTAAATTTATTTAAATGGGTTAAACTTCTTAAACCATATTTTGAACCCTAATCTATTCCATCACTGTTAATACTGCTACTACCTCTCGCGTATGGGACTTAATGTGGTGTGGTGACTTGAACTGATGTACGTAGGTAAGGACGAAGTTCTACGTTGTAACTGACTAAGTGACTGAAAAACACCTTTACAAGTCCAAATATGTTCGATTCCGTATTCAACTTGTAATATACATCATCATAAAGTTTTGATAAGTATAATCTTATATTATTTAGATTTGTTAGAAAAGTTCTAACTGATTATTACCAGAAAAAATTACAAAGCTTAACTGATGAGTAAAACTTCGACACTTCGTTTTCTTCTTCTTTTTTTAAGGAAACTTTTAATCAGGGAGATTTTTTTTCTCTAGCAATACATTTTACAATATTTTTCATAAAAATATTATCAAGAAACAATAACTATTCATACTAAATTTAGTTTATTAACATTATAGAACTTGAATATTTAAAAAAATGGATCGTTATGAAAAATTGACAAGAATAGGAGAAGGTGCATATGGTGTTGTATTCAAATGTCGTCATCGTGATACTGGAGATATAGTTGCAATTAAAAAATTTACAGACTCTGAAGAAGATCCAGTGATACATAGAATTGCAATGAGAGAAATTCGTACATTGAAAGTAAATTATGAAAATTTTCATTTATTCTGAAGGGAATATTTTTTATGTTTGTGAATTGTGGAATTTATCATTTAAATCGATGATTGTGATGACTGTTGAATTCTATAGCTCAGATCATGGACTGATTTTAGTTAAACAACGCAGAATCCTCTGGCATAGGTTCAAGAAGTGTTAAAAGACATGGATATATATATCTTGCATGTGCTTATTTATTCTAAAGTAAAAACGTTTTGCCGTTGTCAAGTTGTAGAGATAGTTGAAGTTCATTGAAATCACGAACCAATAGAAATTAGACAACCATTAGAAACCCCTAAGTACTGAACATCTGTTTTGTCCTAGGAAGCAACTCCTTGGCTGTGTGCATCCATAACTCTACAACCGGGACCTTCGGCTCCATATGTGAACACTTAGCCTCCAAACCACTATAAAGGCATTTAGTTGACACAAGTCTAACTTCAGCCAGTCCTCGCACTCAACATATTTGAACTACACTGATTTAAGTCTTCTGCCAGAACTCCCAAGACTTCTCGCATCTAGTCACTAGTGAGTATACCATTTGACTCCGTCCCAGTGATATAGAGGTTGAGCGTTCAGACGCAAGGTCATGAGTCCTGAACTTGATTCCCATTTGAAAGATTATTGGTAAATACTACTGTGGAGTCCTAGTATTTCCAGATTCGAGCTGATTGTCTAACTTTGATCAGTTTATGATTTCAAAAGAAGAAGTTTCTTTGACTTATCTGCTGATGTTTTTTTTAAAAATAAAGATCACATTATTGATTAATCAATCGATTCTTTTTTGCATTATGTTTCTTTTTTTACGTAGCAATTAAAACATCCGAATTTGATCAATTTAATTGAAGTTTTCAAACGTAAACGTCGTTTGCATTTGGTATTTCAATATGTTGATCATACATTATTACATGAATTGGAGAAACATACTAAAGGGTAATAAATTTTTAATAATTTCAGTACACTATATATAAGTTAAGTGGTTTTATGGTTAGTGTATCATTCCACTGGTAGCATTTGTCACATATTGGTTTCAATTTGGGTTATTATTTAAAACAAGCAAGTATCGGATAGGTGTTTCAGCTTAGGATAGGGCTCTTCAACAATAAAAAGCTAGTTGCTAGATTCGATGATTTCACAGGTAATACATCCATCCTGAAACTTGACGATTCTAAGTTTGATCCTTAAAAGTGTTATGAGTACACTCTGATAAAGAATCCTGAATAAGATGTGCGGTTTTGTAATTCATCTTGAACAATTCAACATTACATGTAGTTTCTGTGGAATATGTAAATGCATAAAATTGTTTCACTTGACACTTATTCTGCTTTTGTAATACTGAAAATACTGATTTAGGTTTACTAATAAAGAGAAATCATCTGATCAACTCATCCGGAGATCGGAGAGGGAGAAAATGAACAAGACATGTTTAAGCATACTTTTATTTGAAAAAACTATTTAATTCAAGCTTTTCTTCAAAGTGACGTACAACGAGTTATTACATGGCGACTACCAAGATATATTCAATAGGACAAATCCCAAAAACGTGTTATTTAGCATTAATTATAAATTCTGATTTTAACTGTTGCTATTTTATATATTGTGATTGATCAGTTTTATTTTCCCAAAACACTATTTTGTTAATGCAAATCAATTTTTCAAAAATTTTTAAAACTGTTACTCGATCATAAGAAAACCGATGTGTTTCATTCATACTAATAAGTCCAGCTTAGTCATTTTGAGTGAAAGATACAATCATTACAGATGAAAATCGAAAAATGGTCATGTGATATGGCAGAAATAATTAAAATGGAAAGTATGAACTATCGTGTACTAACACAATGCTTTTAAGATATACTGCTCACTATGAGATAACTAAGATCCTTTTAGTTTAATCTCTTACGAATAGGCATTGTTGAAGGATTCTGTGCTTGGATAAAGCACATATCCAGCATTGCTTCAAGTTCGCTGATTAGTTTATCAGTAGGTGAAATCTGATAGTTTACAAAATATTACACTGTCCCATAGTTACAGAGTTACATATGAAGTAAAAATATTAAACATTAGCTTTTATCATGAAATTTTATCAGCTAGAAACTATAAAATACTCGTTTAAATTTGTCATTCTCTAACATGGCTGATCAATGTAACTAACTACAGGGAATTAAATATACTGCTTTCATAATAAGCATGATATATATTTAAGCGAACAAGCTGAACTTGACTAAACAACATTTCCAACTTCAATCAAATTGCACGAGCTTCCATAAAGCCCAGTTATTTATTATCAGTAGTGATATTTTGATATACAACGAAGCTCATCACTACTGAATGCAAAGTTATCTAATTAAAACACGAAGTTTGTAAAGCTTGATTAACATGTAGTTTGATTTTATCATGATTGGATAAATTAGCTGTTAGATCACTGAAATTTATTAATTTCTACTGAAAAAACGTGACTTTTCTCACCTAAATAAACATGATATTATTATTATTATCAGATTCTAACAATTTCTTATTGCTTTGGAAAAATATAGATCTCATATAACACACAAATCTTGTAACAATTTTCCCCATTAAAAGATATTTATTAATTGAACATTTAATTAGTGTAATTACAACAAACTTGTTGAATGAAGTTCTACGAATCTAAATGACATTTATTGACATGTCCTGTTATACACTTTCAGTTCATTCATCTTCTTATCATCTTATAACTTTTTTTTGTCGTTTATTTAAATGTGCATCATGTCCATGTGGATTTATGTGTGTGTTATCAATTGGATTAGACACTTTGAATAGTTTGCTATAAAATTATTCACAATTCAATCTTGATATACTTTTTCAAATTCTCAGCTTTTAAAGTTCCTTGTAAATTTTCGCTTTATTTCACTAATTAATATTTTCTCCTAAAGTTGAATTTTCAATGTTCAGTCTTTTTCGATTACCAGCAATACTGTTACTATTTTTACTAATCTAGGAATTTGTTACATTGACAATTTCATTTCTTTATTCTTAGGAATTATAGAAACTTGAATCGATCTCTACATATGCAACAGATTCTACATTATATTTGACTTATCTAAGTGATTGAGTATACTATAAAATCTTCAAAACTAATCGTTATACACCAATTTGTTTGATGCACGAATGAGTTTGGTTGTAAAGAGTTTCGAGATAGAAAAAATATATATATAATTGTACAATTCTCAACGTTGATCAGACTCTTATTTTATTTAATAGTTGAAAAACCTTCCCGAGTTCTACTTAACTGAACTAAAATAACTAGAATTATTATTATTGAATAAAAAATACTCTCTTACTCACGCCTGTTACCCC